CATTTTACTGGGTCGGCAGAGACCACTGGCACCCACGGGGAAGCTGAGCAGTCAGTGTGAGAGGTAATTCCTGTTGCAATAACACTAGTGACGTCGCTTTCATATACACTCAGTGGGTACTAGAGCAATCACAGGATAAGCTCTCACCGTAGATAATGTAGCCGCAGTGGGTAAGTAGGATTTTGTTGAAGAGGGGGAAGTTTTTTTAAGCCAAGGAAAAAAAATACTGAAAAGTAAATCTTTGTGTGCAGCCATTCAGTTCTGCAGATCTAAAATCTGTGCTTTTTAAATTATACTCTGTGGAGTAGGAGCTCACATCCAAAGGTCACAGTTAAAAGTTTTGCATTGTTTGGGTTGCACTTTAAGATATTGATTATGCCACCACAACAGAACAATAGTAAATTGTAATTACTCTTCTTGCAGTATTTATCTTTTTGCAAGGCATTCCAGAGCAGAGGTACACAATGCCCAAGAGTGTCAGAAGCAGCTCTTTCCACTTTATGCAAAATTAATATGCAGTTATGTGCCTAACTGGACTAGAAGTAAATAATAGGTTCCTAACAAAGGCTCATTGAATAAGGGATAGATATAACACATTTATGCCATAGCAGCCACCGTACCGTAGTGAAGAATTCCAGAGAAGCAGTTTTTCTGTGGAGGGCAGGCACATCTCTCCCTCACTGAGAAAGGCTCTGCTTTCGTGCTCTGTGGGAGAGGCAGCATCAGTTAGGTGCCTCCCAAGAGCCTGCAAGTTCTCAACTCCTGAGCTTCTAAGATTCAAACTACAAAACCAATACAAGGTAATTGCAATGAAATGCCCCAGCAACTTGAAGAGGAAGACTGGTCATTGTATAACATAAATTTAAAATGCATTTCTTATTGTGGACCTGGTCAAAAAGGCAGAAATACACTTTCCTACCTGATAGTACCAAGATATTTAAACTGTGTCTTCATTTGAGTGAAGGGACGAGTTGACCAGAAACAGAGTTCTGGGTCACATGAGCAAACATTGTTGGAGCTCAGGGTCCAAGGGGCCTTGACCTAAGAACTTGATCTGTCCAGTCTAAGTGACAGGTACATCGTCAGTGTAGTGATTACTTCATAATAACCTGATACCAGCTAATACCCAAACCACATGATTTCTTTCTCCACTCTGATACAAGCCCTGCTAAGAATACTTCTGATTAGACTTTGTGTTCCCTTAAGTTCATGTATAGTTGGAGAAGGTGTGGAGCACAGAACCCAATTCATTATTCAGAATCCTTGGCAGTTGGCATCACAGTTTCATGAGCTTGGTTGAAGTGAATCTGTTTGCAGAGATAGATCCACTGCCCATGCTGACAACAGTCGGTCAGCAAAACTAAAAGCCAGACCTTGGAGCAGGGCAGCAGCATCCTGTGATATTCAAATAGGTCTAACACAACCGCATTAAAAACTATAACAATAATTAGCTATCCTTTAAAAAATGAATACTGACATAGCCCTACACAATATAGTATAATAGTTCATAGCAAGGATTTCAGCTCTACACTGCCTGAAAACTGTGTCCCAGTTTCCTTTTCTCTAAAATGGAGTTACCCCCAAGTGCCCATCAACACATGAATGGATTAATAAAATGTGGTATATGTATACCATGGAGTACTATTCAGCTATAAGAAACAATGGTGATATAGCACCTCTTGTATTTTCCTGGATAGAGCTCGAACCCATACTACTAAGTGAAGTATCCTAAGAATGGGAAAATAAGCACCACATGTACTCACCAGCAAATTGGTTTCACTGATCAACACCTAAGTGCACATATAGGAATAACATTTACCGAGTGTCAGGCAGGTGGGAGGGGGGAGGAGGGGATGGGTATATACATAATGAATGTGATGCGCACCGTCTGGGGGATGGACACGCTTGAAGCTCTGACGGGGGGGGGCGGGCAAGGGCAATGTACATAACCTAAACGTTTGTATCCCTATAATATGCTGACATAAAATAAAATAAAATGGGGTTACCAAAAGTGTTGCACTAGTGGGACTGTGAGGATTAAATGATTTGATTTATATAAAGCACCTAGAATGGGACCTGGCACAAAATGAGTGTTATATAAATGTTTACTATTATCATCATTCTCTTTTATTTAGTCAATTTTAGAAGAGAAAATAACCAATAAATAAATAAGAGGTTTAAAAAAATTCTGAGATGTAGGATTCAGAGACAATTTAAGTCAAACTCAAGAAGAATTAGAATACAAAAATAAAAACCTTAAAGAACTAAAATGTTGAAGTTTCCTATTCTTCTTGGAATTCTAAAATCAATTTCAAAAAATTGATTCACCAAATTTTGTGATGTATTTAATTTAATGATGTATTTGCCAAAATGCAGGTTTCTTAGGTTAGTCCTTTAATTACAGATTAATTTTGAATCTACTAGTTTTAAATACATTTAAGCTGTAAGATATTAATACCTTTTTCTCCCAATCATATTTATTTACCATAGAGGAAAATACATTTTTATTCTGAACCTTTCGTATCATGTAAATTTAGAAAAAAAAAACATACAATTGCAAGTTATGCTGCTTCACTGCCCTTCCATTTGAAGAGTGTGGAAAGATCTGTTGCTGACAATGAAATCAAAATAACCTATAGGTAAAGTTACTAATTGGATTATTTTTCCCACATTGAGATTCCAATGGAGAAAATCACATTGGAGTTGAGCAGTTTATTAATAGGAATGATGTGCATAAGAGAAAAAAGAACTGACTCGATTGTCACCTGGTAATGAAGTCAAATGAAGGAAACTGAAATTAGGATATAAGTTCTCATGGAGGGGCAGCTATTGGGTGTGTTCTTATGGGGAGGGGAGACGGGGACAGATGGGGGGACTTAGCAGAGCCACCCAGGATTTATAAAAGCTTTAGAGCAACAACAGCAAAAGAAAATCAAACACTTAAAAAACAGGAATCAACCAAGTTTTACCTAGAGAAGGTACCAAGGTATACAGAGGAGGAAGAACTCAACTCTCTGTACCAACTCCCCTCACACCAACTGCCTGTCTGTGTGTGGGGGGGAGAGTTAGAGGAGCATGGATACTTAATTCTGAAAGTCATTAGGTGAAGGGAAATATATTTTATTTGAAACTGTTACTCATTCTTCATTTCTGCCAACATTTTTTTTATGACATGGAAGTCTGGGATCTGCCTCAGAGTGTAAACAAATAATGATAAAGGCCATGCTCTAAATATAGGCCGGGTGCAATGGCTCACGCCTGTAATGCTAGCACTCTGTGGGAGGCTGAGGCGGGCAGATCGCTCTAGGTCAGGAGCTCGAGACCAGCCTGAGCAAGAGCGAGACCCTGTCTCTACTAAAAATAGAAAGAAATTAACTGGACAACTAAAACTATAGAAAAAATTAGCCACACATGGTGGTGCATGCCTGTAGTCCCAGCTTCTCGGGAGGCTGAGGCAGGAGGATCGCTTGAGCCCAGCAGTTTGAGGTTGCTGTGAGCTAGGCTGACACCACGGTACTGTAGCCCAGGCAACACAGTGAGACTCTGTTGAGTCTCAAAAAATAAATAAATATAGTATCTTGGTTCGATAATGGAAGAATAGAGAATTGTTTCCTCTCAAGATTTTTTTTCTTTCTGAGCTTGTATTAATTTAGAGTTTAGGCTGATAATCTGTTCAGTAGCAACCTTTCATAGTCCTATAAATTGTAATATTCAGCTTCATAATATAATGTAAATATCCGAGCATCACTCAGGAGATGGAGGGCTATCCTTTTTGCCGTAACCACAGAAGCACATCGTGTCTCTCTGAAACCATGAAAGCAGCCGAAAGCTGTAACCATGCTGCAGTGCACCCCCACTGCCCCTCCCGCTGTGTCTGTCTGCTCTTTGCTCTGGTCTGTGGGAATCTCCTTGTGACCTGCAATAAAGGCTTTCATCCATGTGTCAATCTCTCTCTAACTCTCATTCCCTGATTTCTCTGGTGCAGCCAGGATTGTCCAGGGTGAGCTCTGCCAAACCACCCATCTGTTGTTTAGAAAATACCTCCTCATTGCATGGCTTTAATAAGTGTGGTCAAAGGAGGCCTGGGCATCCCATCCTATGCTGAGGTGAGTTAGAGAGTGCTCCTGGGAGAAGCTCTGAGCACATACCTCAGCATAGCTCCAGATATGCCAAGAAAGGCGGAAAAGACACAAGGCAAAACAAACATGCCGTCATCTTCCGATCTTTTACTTCTAAAAGAGGAAGAACCTCTGTTTCTTTCTTTAAACTTGCCATGCACAAAGTGTGACTATCTATGGTGCTGTACTATTTGTTTTTAACCACACACACACACACACACACACACAAATATTTCCCATATCTAAATACACATCTTGTCCAAACATTCAAGATATGAAGCTATAGTTTCTTTTTAACAAATTACAGGCTCTGGCTTTCTATAGCTAAGTCCAGGGAGATCACATGGCTGTGTCAGGAGGCAGCTCCTTGCCCTTGGCCTGCCCGCGTGCAGTGGCGTGTGCTGTGTGTGCAGAGGGAGCTCCTCCAGCCCTGCGGATGCTGGACTCTGTGTTCTGGCATCAGTGTCGCTCTTCTGGCCATAGTAGGAATCCAAGCCATCTGGTGTGTGGCTCCCCTGGGCTCTGAGCATGGGGTCATGGTTATGACAAGGGAAAATGTTAACAAGCATTGCAAGGTGATGACAAGGTTACAGAGGCAGAGGGTTTTGAATGTGGTGGTGACAGATGGTTGTCTAAAGGGCCCCGAAGGAAACAAAGGAAATCCATGTACCCCTGGCTCTCTAAAGTCTTCCCCTGAGAGTCTTTGTGGGGACCTAGTTTTCTCACTCCTTCATTACCCACTTTTAATCTGACATCATTTCTTGTCAATTCCCTTTCCTAGCACTGCACCATGCAATACGGTAGCCATTAGCCACATGTGGCAGTTTCAATTCAAATCAATTAAAATGAAATGTAATTTAAGTTCAGCCCAACCATGCTAACCATATTTCAAGTGTTTAATAGCTGTATGTAGCTACTAGCAACTATATGAGACAGCAGAAATTAGTGCTGTCCTAGAACAGAACTCCCCATTCCCATAGTTTCAGTGGTGACCCACACTGGAATAGTGGTCCACGCTACAATTGTCCTTGGGCATTTGTGCTCTTCCATCTGTAGCCTCTGTCTTTCTTCATTTCCACTCTCACCCTCTTCCTCACCCTCCATGAGCTAGTCTGGTCCGCACACATTTTCCTCGGGTTTGGAACTGTTATCATTCAAAGCAGTTCCTTTTGAAAAGACTGCAGTGCCACCCAAAACCAAGCTGTTGGGTGATGGCTCAAAAGCTTTAGCTGTTGCTTCAGAGACCGTGATATTGAGCCAGATGACTTGAAAATCCAAGAGATTCTCTTAGGGCAAGAAAGAAAGATCATAGTCATTCAGATTTAAATTCTTCAACATCAAACTGTCTAAGGTCAGTGCTCTTTTACTTTCCTTTGAGAAGTGATTAAAACTACGGAGAGCTGCCATTCCCAGAAGAAGCAAACACACTTACTAATAATAGCTGATGTTTATTGAATGCGGAATCGATGTCGGGCATTGAGTGCTTCCCAGACTCTCCCTTTTCCATCCTTTTGATGAAAGTGTTATCATTATCTCCAGAATGTCTTATATTGTATAAACATAGGCTACATATTCCTCTCTGGCATAAAGAAAACAATCATAAAAATTAACTATGCACTAACCTACAGAAAAATCTCAATAAATGTAAATGAATCAATAGCATATGGACTGTGTTTTCTGATAAGCAGAAAATAATAGAAATCATTAACAATGGTTAGCTAAAAAATCTTTCTATGTGACTGAAATTTAAAAACAAAACCCATATAATTAAAAGTTAAAATAACCATTGAATTAATGACATCAAAAGAGAAATTTTAAAAATATTTATCTTTTAATGATAATGAAAACACTGTATGTCTATTTGTGAAGAAATAGTTAAAGAATTACTTAGAAAAAAATTATAGCTTAGCTTAAATTGTAAATCAAGAAAGAATGATGGGCCGGGCGCTGTGGCTCACGCCTGTAATCCTAGCACTCTGGGAGGCCAAGGCGGGCGGATTGCTCAAGGTCAGGAGTTCAAAACCAGCCTGAGCAAGAGCGAGACCCCATCTCTACTATAAATAGAAAGAAATTAATTGGCCAACTAATATATATAGAAAAAATGAGCCGGGCATGGTGGCACATGCCTGTAGTCTCAGTTACTCGGGAGGCTGAGGCAGCGGAATTGCTTGAGCCCAGGAGTTTGAGGTTGCTGTGAGCGAGGCTGACGCCATGGCACTCACTCTAGCCTGGGCAACAAAGTGAGACGCTGTCTCAAAAAAAAAAAAGAAAGAATGATGGGAACAAAACAAGTCAGAAAAGGAGCAAATGAATAAGCAAATTCATTCCAGTTTGTTTTTGTCTTTTCTTGTTTAAATACCAATCTTTTAAATTCTTGCATTTTAGTAAAAAAGCTACCTTTTTATGGATGTTAGCAGTTTATTGACCTAATATTTGTAAATGGTCTTTTTTGGCAGGTAAAATTATGTAATGCAGTGTTTGAAACAGGAGAAAAATTTTTGTTCCTTTTTATTTCCTTTTTTTTTTAACTGTATAATGTCCCTCAAGTTATATGGCAGTGTACCTTATGCCACTGAATTTCCAAAGTGTACTAATTTTTTTTACTATGCTTCAAATAAATAGAAAAAATAGTTAAAAAAAAACACATAAGAAGAAAGCAATAGAAATAATCAACAAAAACTAGACACTTTAAAAAGATAAATAACTCAGACAACCTTCTGTCTGCATTCTCAAGAAAAAAATAAGAGAAGATATAAACAAAATAATCATGAAAGAAGGTGCTTAGATGTGTTACAGAGATCTTAAAATTACGAAGAAATAAACGTAAATGGGCCAATAAACATTGAAGAATTTGAAACACTGGCCCAAAAGCTGTCCACTGCACTCCTACTCCCTCTCTCACTCTCATAATAACTGCCAGAACTAGGCAGTTTTACATCTGAGTTGAATATACTAAACTTTTCCAGGAACAGATCATCTTTACCTTATATCAGTTCCAAAAAAATGATAAAAGAGAAAGCTGTCAAGCTCATTTTGTGACACTACTATAACCTTGATGCCCAAATTGCATAAGAACAGTATAAGAAAAAAACATTGTGAGATAATTTTCCATAAACACAAACATTTAAATAATAGATTACACAACCTATACATCATGCTAACTTACCTCCTATCCCAAGAATGGTTTAACAACAACAAAAAAAATCTGAAGGAGAAAAACCACATGATGATTTTAAAAGATGTACAAAAAGCACTTTAATTTTAACACCTATATAGGTTAAAACCTCTTAAACCAAGAATCTAAGAACTAAAAATCACACCAAACCTCATTTTTAGTAAAGAAACTATAGAAGCATTTTCTAAAAGTTTTAATATATTACTGGTGACCAAAGAAAAAAGAAAATAATATTAAAAACTCATAAACATAATTTTTATAAATAAAAATAATAGGTAGAACAAAAATCAGAAGAGAATAATAAAATAGTAAATAAACAGCAAAAAGCAGTGAAAATATAGTAAAAAAATACAATAATTAAAGATCATTGTGGGTACTATGTACAAGATGGATAGTATTTCTCTATAATCAGTTATAGTCAACTAGATCTTTATTGAGAAAAGTTTTCCAACCCTACTGAAGGACATAAAAGAAAATATAAACAAATGTAGTGTGTATCTGGTTCATGGATTGTCAATTTCCCATAAATTGTTCAATTAAGTGAAACCAATTAGAATAAATGTCACAGCAGAACTTTGAAGGAAACATTTTTTTCTTTTTTCAAATTTCAAAATATTAAGGGGATACAAATGTTTTTGTTACATGGATAGCTTTTATAATGTTTTAGCCAGGTCTTTAAGTGTTCCCATCATCTGAATAATGTTCATTGTAGCTGTTAGGTAAGTTTTTACCCCTCTTCTTCTCTCCCTTCCCCTCTTCTTGGTTTCCAACAATTTTTACTTCTTTCTGTGTCCATGAGTGGTTATCAATTAGTTCCAAATTATTAGAGCATACATGTGGTGTTTGTTTTTCTGTTCTTGAGATAGTTCACTTAGGATAATGGTCTCCCAGTTCCATCCGAATTGCTGCAAAAGATATTAATTCATTCCTTTTTATGGCTGAGTAGTAGTCCATGGTATGTGTATACACCACATTTTGTGAATCCACTCATAAATTGATGGGCACTCAGGTGGATTCCACATCTTTGCAGTTGTGCATTGTGCTGCAATAAACATTCAAGTGTGAGTGTCTTTGATAAAATCACTTCTTTTCCTATGGGTACAAACCCAGTAGTGAGATTGCTGAATTGAATGGTAGGTTGACTTTTAGTTCTTTGAGGAATCTCCACACTGTTTTCCATAGAGGCTGTACCAATTTGCAGTCACATAAACAGTAAGTGTTCCCTTCTCTCTGCATCCATGCCGGCATCTGTTGTTTTGGGATTTTTTACTAAGAGTCACTCTGACATGGGTAAGGTGATACCTCATTGTGGTTTTATTAATAATTTGCATTTCCCTGATGATTAGTGATGTTGAGCATTTTTTCATACCTTTATTGGCCATTTGTCTATCTTCTTTTGAAAAGCTTCTGTTCATGTCTTCTACCCACTTTTTAATGAGAACTTTTCTATGATTCTAAAAATAATATAAAGTAATAAATTTCCACAAATAATGAAGATACTTTTTCAGAAATAAGAGTGAAAAGGTTAGCTGTAGCATAGGAACACACAGAACAGTGGAACAGGCCAGTGATCCCAGAAACACTTACAAACCTGGCAAGAGCCCCAAAGCCCCACCTGCTCCTGGAGCACGGCGCCTTCGGAACCCACGGCAGGGTCGGCGAGCTGCGGGAGCCCACTTTCTCCTTTGCCTCCTTGGCGGTCCTGCCGATTCAAACCTCAGGGCACTGTGTCACCTGCCAGGTATTGGCTTCCTGTGGCCCAGTGTGAGCAGAACAAGGGAACGGGGCGACTTCCGAATGCTGAGCGGACCCTCCCCCTGGCGTGCGCACGGGCGAGGGCCTGGGGACAGGTGCGCCTCCAAAAAGCCCGTCCTACCCCTGCCCGGCCTTGGCCTAACTTTCTGTCTGCGCTTGGTTTTGTCTTTACTTTTTTCTTCCGTTTATTCTTCTTTTTCTTGTTTGTTTGTTTTTTCTTTCTTTCCACCAACTTGGACTAACCGACGCCGACTCCCGACTTCGCCCTGTCCTCTCGTGTGTCTCCTTGGAACTGGCTCCGCGCGCCGGCCTCCCTCCCCCGCGCCTCCCCCCCTCCCCCGCGCCTCCCCCCCTCCCCCGCGCCTCCCCCCCTCCCCCGCGCCTCCCCCCTCCCCCGCGCCTCCCCCCCTCCCCCGCGCCTCCCCCCTCCCCCGCGCCTCCCCCGCTTCCGTACCCGGCCAGCCGGGCCAGCGCCCCCGCCAGGCACGCGACTGCAGAAGCTTTCCGGGGTGCGGCGTGTGCCGTCGCTCCTCCTGCCTGTTGTTTGGATTGGTTTTGTCGCCTGGGAGGATCTGCCGACGACACAGCCGTAGAGGTGTGTGTGTTCTGTCCTCTAAACCGGCAGTTCAGAATCTTGCGCGTGTCTTCTAGTCAGGAGCGCTCACCTCGCGCAGCCCCGCGTAGGGTGCGGTAGACACTCGGAGAGAAGCAGCTGCAGGGGCTTCTCAGAAGCCTTAAACCAAGAAAGTGTTGTGTTATTGTACCAATTCATAAAGTATGATTTTAGAGACCTCAACTAAAATATTTCCCAAACTAAGAGTTACGAAGCATTTCAGGTCCCGTAGGCCATAGCCTGCGACAGGCAACCCCAGGGACATCGCCCGGAAGACAGAATTTCAGGCGCCACGTCTGACCTACTGAATCAGAATCTGTGCTTTTTAAAAAAGATCCCAGATCCCCAGTTGGTTCACCTGCATGTCAAAGTTTGAGAAATACTGTGGTTTTTTTTCCCCTTTATTCCTTCTTAAGAAGACTCAGATTTAAACATTTAGATGTAGGCATCTAGAATATGTGTGCATACTTGTGATATTGTGATTTTACATATATGTAAATATACATTTATACATACGTAGGTTTGTGTCCTTGGTCTCTAGCTCATAGCTCCCATAGCCTTTGTCACCATCTTTTTTTATAATGTTGGGGCACTTTAGGCTTCAGAAATAAACTGTAGGAAACAGAATCAATCTCTCTCTCTCTCTCTCTCTCACTCTCTCTCTCTCTCTTTCCCTCGCCTGCCTTCCTTTCACCTGCCCAAGGCAGGACTCTAATCTGACTGTGGATGGATCAGAAGACCCTCATTCCATGAAGGGTCCTGCCCCACACCCTGGAGGAAGGAATGCTGCACAGAGAGGCCAAGAAGAATCTGAACAGACAGGTCTTGGGTTTAGATTATGCCCATCACATTTGACATGGCTGTCCATTCTTCAGCCACAGACAACCAATGAAGTCTCCATAAAAGGCCTGAAAGACAGGGTTTGGAGAGCTTCCAAAGAGCTGAACGTGTGGAGGCTTACAGGGAGGTGAACCCGAACACATCCGCATGCTTGGGAGGGTGGTGCACCCCAACTCCAGGGGACGCCAGCTCCTGTGCTCAGGACCCTTCCAGACCTCTCCCTGCATGTCTCCTCATCTGGTTGCTTACTCGTATCCTTTGAAATATCCTTTGTAATAAACCAGTAAATGTAAGTGTTTCCCTGAGTTCTCTGAGCCACTTTAGCAAATTAATCAAACCTAAAGAGGGGATTGTGAGAACCCCAACTTGAAACCAGTCGGTCAGAAGTTCCAGAGGCCTGGACTTGGGACTGGAGGGGCTTATGGGACTCAGTCTCGTGGGTCCCCACAAGTGCTATTTCCAGGTTGGTGGTGTCAGACCTGACTGGGAGGATGCCCAGCTAGCGTCCACTGCAGAACTGATTGCTTGCTTCCTGGGGGGAGAAATCCCCCCACATTTGACCACAGGAGTCTTCTTTTATGTTGATGATTATTGGGACCCTTGCTTTTCCTCTGCTCTCATCTTGCAACAATCATCAACACGATACTAAAGAAAAAGGATTTCATATTCATAAACACTTGTGTGCTGGAGACACAACGTATCTGCTTGGAGGCTTCCACCTCCCCCTTCCCACCAGCCCTCCCCAGAACACCCTGTCCACAGCCCTAGCTTCTCCACTCCCCTTGCTCTCTAAGGGGACTTCTGTCTTCGCTAGTCTGGCTCCTTGACTTTGAAATTTAGAATTAGAAGAATGGGCCTTGGGAGATAGGAAGAAAGACCAAGAAAGAAAAGGAACAATAAAGCAGAACAGCCTCACAGTTTGGGGACTCGAGGAAAGCTGGAGACAGAGAGTGGAGGGTAGAGGGCTGGGGTGTCAGGTGATGATCACATCTGCCCTCAGCTGCACCTGGACAAGACAAGAAGCAACAGAGGTCAACTGCGCAGGGAGGAGGGTGGCAGGTTATTGAGGCAGAGATGGGCCAGAGAGAGGAATGACAGGTGTGTGTGCAGACAGGAGGGCGAGGTTTTGGGCTCTGGCAGAGAGAAAAGCAGACCTCCGCCAGCAGGAGTACGGCCTGAGAATGGCATTGCAGACACGTAGGTGCAGCCTCTGAGCACTTCGTCTAGAAGAGGGAGGATGCTGAGAGGGACCAGAGTTCGTGCCAAGATAATGACATAGGCTGTAATATAAATCCATAAAGATAAATCATCTCTGTGGGTCAGAACAGAGTCAAGGAAATAAAATTTTGATGCTATAATTTTAATGCTACTCTTACCCAAGCTAGAGATAATTTAGCTACAATTGCAAAGCAATGATGCTTAAAATAGTTTGGTATCAGTCAGTGATGTTGACCAAAATCTAATAAGTCTTATAATATCTATTTTTTACATATGCATGTATGTGTGTATAGATGCATATGTATGTGCATACATGTGCACTGTATACAATAACTATATATGACTTATATAATACCACATATAGTACATATAGTACAAATGTCTATTTATACGTATACATATTTATACATATATTCATAATATATGTATGTGTGTACATATACAGTTGGTCCCTCTGTATTCATCGGTTCCACATACATGGATTCAGCCAATTGCAAATGGAAAATATTCAACGGAAAATGATCTACAAAATTCCAAAAACCAAAACTTGAATTTGCTGCAGAGTACTATGTTTAATCCATGCAAATGAAGTGATATGTGGGCATTGTATTAGGTATTATAGGTAATCTAGAGATGATTTAAAGTATATGGGAAAATATCCATAGGTTATATGCAAATACTATACCATTTTACATAAAGGACTTGAGGATCCTTGGGTTTGGGGATCCAAAGGGGTGTCCTGGAACCAATCCCCCATAGATACCAAAGGACAACTGTATATAAGTGTATATGTGCATATACATATATGTGTGTATATATATATATACACACACATTATCTATATATGTGTGTGTGTGTATAAATATATATAAATACATCTTCCATTTGTACTACCTTTTTTCCTCAAGTTCACAGAATTTATAAAATTCCAGACCCAGTGGCACAGCCTACATCCTATAATATGCCTGAATCTTAGTGTGAACCCTCCTTTAGGCTCTCAAGTGATACTGTAACTACATTAGAGCATTATCAATCCAACAACCAGAAAAGGTTTTTCAAACAAATGACGCTAAGTATTATTATCTTCCAGTTACAGATAAACAGAAGCACTAATGTAATAAGTCACAATATAGTAAAGGGTCCTATACAGAATGATCTCTGAGAAGAAAGTAACATTTCACTGACCTTTAATTTGTTGTAAACTGTGAATCTCAGATTAAAATCCAAATGATTTTCTATATTTTTAAATTATGTATATCAGAGCTGAGCATAACGAACACTTATGGCCCAACAATTCCACTCCTAGGCACATACTTTGGTTTCCCCAACCCACTGCCTGGTGGAAGTTTTCCAGTCCAAGGTACAGGGAGGGAAAACCCAGGCAGACCCTGGCCATCTCCCCTAGCTGAAGAGACAAAGCTGGAAGTCCAACACAAAATCCTGAAGTAATCATTTAAAAAGATAACTAAAGTTAAAAAACATAAATATGTCCTTTCATGAAAGTCTTTTTAGAGCAAAAACCTCTTAAGGAAATCTAAAAGACAAATGACAAAGCGGGAAAATATATTTGAAACATATCCCACACATGGAGCTAATCTACATAATGTATAAAGAACCCCTAATTGGTTTTCACCTGTCAGATTAGCAAAATATCACATATTTGAACACAACAGAATTGGTGAAGCTGAGGGGAATCACGCCCCCCAACACTCGGGTTGAAGTTTTTACGATATAAGATCAGTGGAGGGCACACTGACATTATTAGCTATCAAGTTACAAAGGCTTTTACCTTCAGTCTTACAATTCCTCCTCTCGGAATACATTCTAGAGTTATTTCAACATGTGAAAATAGTAGCAAGATGACATTATTCGTGGCAGCATCATTTGTAAAAATAAAGGTTTGGAAACAACTTCACGTGTCTACCCACAAGTGAACGATTAGAGAAATCCTAGTGCAGTCATCAGATGCAATACTAGCCAGACACAAAAAAAGAACAAGGGAGCTCATTGTGTATTTGCAGGCAAGGACCCCCAGGACACGTTGTTCAGTTACAAACACAACTGCAGAATGCCATGTAATGTGCTGTCAATTGTGTAGAACATGAGAGGGGACGGAATATTAATATTGACTTTTATATGCTTCGAATATCTCAGAAAAGATGAAGAAAAATGAATAAAATGGTGGACAAAAACAAGACAGATGGGAAATAGGGGTGATAATGAGACATTTTATTGTGTTCCCTTTCGTCCTTTTTGATATTTGGACTATGTGACTTCATTATCTAAATATCTTTAGATCTACATAAAAATGGAAATAATTTCAAAGGACATTACATGGAGGGGGATGAATGTATTCAGAAAAGAAATGATTCACTAGTTATCAAGATGCAATCTTCCAATAAGACTGCCTGGAAATGATAATAAATATTATTACTCATTAGCATATCAGATTTCTGTACAATCTAGTATGAGACAACAAATGTGCACAAAGAATTTCACAAAGCACAAACTAATTGCTGTCAGGCTTGAGATGCTAATAGTTGGCCAAGCAAAGGCACAGAAGCAAGGAAGAAAGGGAACATTGAATATTTGGCTATTTCTAGGATACACGAAGAGTGTACACCAGGC